TTTTTTTTTGGTGAGGAAGATTAGCCCTGAGCTAACATTTGTTGCCTATCCTCTTTTTGCTGAGGAAGATTGGCCCTGGGCTAACATCTGTGCTCATCTTCCTCTACTTTATACCGGACGCTGCCACAGCATGGCTTGACAAGCCATGTGTCGGTGCGCACCTGGGATCCGAACCTGCGAACCCCAGGCCGCCAAAGTGGAGCACCGCGAACTTAATTGCTGTGCCACTGGGCCGACCCCTAACATTTCTTATCATCTACATGCTTTGGTGACAAATTCATTCTGCTTTTTTTGTTTTGCTTTAATGAAGGAAGTCTTTATTTTATCATAATTTTTTAAGGATATAGATGTTTGAGTTCTACAGTTTTGTTTTGGTTTTTTGTTTGCTTTTATCTTTTCTGCCCTTAAAACATGTCTTTCCCTTGTCATCTGCCTACCATTGTTTTGCATGAAATCTCAGTGATGATTTTTAGCCTTTTCCCTCAATATTCAACGTGCTCTTTTTTCCCATGGTTATTTGAAAATTTTATCTTTACTTTATGTTTACAACATTTGACTAGTACGTGCCTAGATGTTGTTAACTTTATAATGATCTTATTTGAATTCTGCTACCCTTCCTTTTCCTGGAAGTCTGGCATTTTAAAAACCTAACTTGAGAATTAGTTACTATTCCTTCACATTTTTTTTCTGTCACACTTCACTCTTCCACTCAGGGAATATAAATATACGTACATTAAAGCATGTCATATTGTGACAAGACTCCTTTTGCTGCTAATCATTTTTCTTTCATTGTTTTTCCTTCTATACTTCAGTTTAGATGGTTTATATTAATCTACCTTCATGTTCAATTTTTCTGGTATCTCTAATCAACAGTTTAGATGTACACTAAGCTTCCTGGAGCTTATATAAACATTGCTTGTTCTAAAACAGAATTGCTAATATTATCAGTTTCCCCTAATGATTATTTCCTGGATTGTTCAGAGATATCCTCTTCTTTGTCCTTGACAAATCCATAACCTTAATTTGCTCCTTCTACTTATTTGCTTTCCAGTTATCATCTATTGTTTCACTCCCTCCCTTGTTATAAATGTTGGTATTAGATTTTCCTGAATAACCCTAATGCTAAATTATAAAATACTTATACTTGAAGAAACTGTGGACTATGGGAAACAAATCAATACACAGAAATATCTTTAAGTACTTTATTTAGAAGGTTTTAATCTAAATAGCAATATCATAAGTAAAATTGAACTGAAAAGAAGAATAAGGTGAGGCTGGCCTTGTGGTGTAGTGGTTAAGTTTGACATGCTCTGCTTTGGCAGCCCAGGTTCATGGGTTCAGATCCTGGGCGCAGACCTACACCACTCGTAAGCCATGCTGTGGTGGTGACCCACATATAAAATAGAAGAAGATTGGTACAGATGTTAGAGCTAATCTTTCTCAAACAAAAAAAGAAGATTAGCAACAGATGTTAGCTAGGGGTAAATCTTCCTTAGCAAAAAAAAAGAGAAGAAAGCAAACTTAATGATCTATATGTTATTTCAAAGTAAGATAGAGTTTAAATCCATATTAAAACATCTCAAATTCTATTCCAAGGTGGAATTCCTGTGTAAGTATCTTTGTGTGTTGGGTGGCAGAGTGTTCTGAAAATTTTCCTTTCTATAATCCAAAGAGATGAACTTATTCATATGTATATAAATACACAATATACACAATATATATTCTCAACCAAGTGATACAGGAAATTGAGCTTTTTACTAAATACTATACTATTACTTCTATTACTCTTACCCACCACCAACTTCTATTACCAACTATAAATGAAAATTTTAGTTATTGTAACACAATCTTCAAAATCTAACATGCACATGAAACCAGTATATTATGGTATAAAAATTGGAGATGCTTTCATAAGTTACACTCTTTATTAATTTATAAGCATCATGGGACTTTGCTGAAATTATTGGTGAACCTGAGGATCCCCAGGATTAAGATAATTCTCAAAGATCCTGTCACTTGGATCTGATGCCCTTCAAGAAGTTCTGGCTCTTGGCCAACAAGTCCTTCAGCACATCTTTCATGGATTCATTCTGTGGGCAGAAGATGAAAGGATTCAGGAGTGGTGTGATGACACTGGAGAGGATAAAGAGGGTCTTGTTGAGATGCAGGCTACTCTTCTGTGAGGGGTGGACATAGACAAAGATGGAAATCCCGTAGCCCATAGAGACCACAGTGAAATGAGAGGAACAGGTGGCAAAAGCTTTGACCTTAGCCTGAGGGTATCTTCAGAATGGTGGAGAGGATGTAGACACAGGAGACCACTGTGAGGGAGAGGGAGCTGATGAGCAGGACAAGGGAGCTGAGGAAGTCCAACAGCTCAAGGACACGGATGTCAGCACAGGCCAAGTGGAAGAGGGGGGCACTGTCACAGAAAAAGTGATCAATCACATTGGGGCCACAGTATGGCAGTCCTGCCTTAAGGACAGCGGATGGGAGGATGAGGAGAAAGCCGCCAACCCAGGAGAGAATGACAAAATGGACACAGAGTGAGCTAGTCATAATCATAGGGTAGTGAAAGGGGCTGCATATAGACACATCGTGGTCATAGGACGTGACAGCAAAAAGGATAAATTCAGTGCATCCTGAGAGGAAGTAGAAAAAGGACTGCACAAAGCATTCATCAGTTGAAATGCTCTTTCTCTCTGACAGAAAACCTGCCAGCATCTTGGGAACAGCACAAGTTGTGGTTAATATTTCACTGAAAGAGAGGTTGCTGAGGAAGAAATACATGGGTGAGCGAAGCCTATAATCCACAAGAATCAGGATAATGATGAGGGTGTTTCCAAGGACTGTCACCAAGTAGGCCACAGAAAAAGTCAAGAACAGGAGGCCCCCAAGGGCTCTGGTGGTTGGTATCCCTGTAAGAATAAACTCAGTCACCAATGTCCAATTCCTCCTTTCCATGTTTTATGTCTCTTTTTACTGTAAAGAGAGTTACAGCAGAGAAAAAATTATGATGAATCACTCATTAAATTGTAAAATGTAGGAGAAATTGAGAATAAATTATTTTAGTTATTCTTTTGTTTCTAGCAAAATTGAGCAACACGATTGATATTATGGTTTGGTGCAATATTTCCTACAAAAATCCAGATGACGATATATGAAAATCAATTTTCATAACTCCATCTTTCTTTTTTATATTCCCTAATTCTTGGGGGTGAAATATATAATTATACCTATATGTTTTATCCATAATAAATTTGTCAAGTAAGTGTTTTGATAAAATACACCAATGAAAGATGTAGTTGGTACCTGTAAATATAATAGCAATTTACTTCCAATGTTTATGTTGTAGGGACTGGGCTGTGTAGATGTTGAAAGGACACACAGAGGGCACAGGCTCCAGTTCCAAATCATTGTTGCAGCTCTGTCTTCAAGGTCCACGATGGACTGTGGGCACATGTGGCAGCCACTATAACAGGAGGATTTTCCCACCTGGGGTTTAGCACTCCAACTGCTAGCAAAGGTGAACAAATAAAAATAAATTAACTTATCTTTCTTCATATATTTAAAACTATTATCTCTACAGATTTGCACTTATCTTTCTTTTCTACCCTTTATTTTCATTTGCGTTGCATTGAATTCCAATGAAGTTAATTTATTCTCGAAAATTTTGTAGCCAGTATAAAAGGACTATGTAAATAAAGTATTAATATTTGCAAAAGTGTTGATAATTTTTAAATCACGTTTTTAAAAGGTTTTCTTTGATGAGGACAAGAGAATTATTAAAGTTTTGCATCTGAATTAGTCACAGATAAGACGATCTGAGACAAGGTTTTGCTCTGTGAAGATCAGTGTCAACATTGCTTTTATCTAGTAAAAATTTATGGTGGCTTTGCGGAAGGAGGACACAAAGAATCCTCAAGTTTAAAAAATAATCATATAAAAATAGGTAAGGTGGGGGCCGGCCCGGTGGCTTAGTGGTTAAGTTCACGCACTAAGCGTCAGCAGGCCAGGGTTCGCAGGTTCAGATGCCGGGCGAGGACTGATGCCCCGCTTGTCAAGCCATGCTGTGGCAGCGTCCCATATAAAGTTGAGGAAGATGGGCAGGATGTTAGCCCAGGGCCAGTCGTCCTCACACACACACACAAAAATAGGTAGAGTGATATAAACTATAGGGAAATTATGTGATTTGGGCAGAAATGAGAGCTATCACACATGATTTCATCCATAAAGGAAAATGGGGATAAGGAGATAAAAAATAATCTCTGTGTGAAACAACAAATAAAACAATTTTTCTAAAAAAGAATTTTGAAAATAATAATCATAAATTTACAGCACAAAGAATTGTATCAATAAACATGAATATATTAATTTGTCCTGATATTAGTTTGAGACTAGAATACAAGACGTAGAACAATTTGCCAGAAACACACGCAAGATATAATGGCTCAAAACATAAAAAATATAAGCACTAGTATAAATATTTCATAAAACACATGCAAAAAATTGAAGTTTGTGTGGTAATATTAATGGCAGAAAAATTATTATTCAATGCAAAGAACACAAAATTAGACAAAAAGCAGAAGACAAAATCTCATAAAACTAAAGGACATGAGAGATCACATCACATTTATGACAGGCAACTTTTAGAAATACAATCAGAAATGAAAATAACATGGTAGTAAGAGAATTTGACACAATATTTTCTACAATTTATGATTCATGAAGAATAAAATAAGCAATACATTATACATGAGTATTTTAAAGTAAAACATTTAGAAATAAATGATAGGAAATAGTCACAGTGTTATGAATGGAATGACAGGTGAAATCCCCTGATTAGAATCAATATTGCAAAATTATTTATTACTAGGATGCTATTCCAACCAAAATACAGGATTGGTTTTTATTTTCAGAAATGATCAAAATGTTTTAAATATAATCGTAAACACTCTAATTTTTAAAGTCTATTTTTTTAAGCAAAGCAATAAATATGACTTTACACTACTAGCTAATATAACATTATTTAGACCCAGAAAAACAATTTGAGATAACTATCTCAAATTTTATAAAAGCTCATATAACTGTTTTTATTTAATCCTTTGGAGTAGTCGTAAGAGAAGAAATTTAACTGCCACGAAAAGATATTCAAATGGGGAATACTCTATCTGTAACCCATAAATTGCCTTTAAGATCTCATTGTCAGGAGACTAATACATAGAAGCATTACAAGGAAATATTAACTAGACAGAAGGCCTAGGATATCAAACGTATGTTTAATATTTTTTCAGTGCTAGGAGCAAGTGAGGCAGTGTTCTTGACAATATAATTCCAGACAATGTGCATCAATAGCAGAAAGAGAGACTAGAAAGAGAGAGAGAGACAAAGAGAGAGAGAGAAAAGCTCTTTCACAATAGATGAGAAATACACTTACTGTAGAACTTTGAATGACTCTTTGGCGAATGTGCCTTGAATTAAACCTAGACATTGAGTGTTTACATTAGGGCTAAGGAAAGTAATGAAGAAAAGTGGACGTTGCAGAAATGAAACAGTGTGTGAAATCCCAAAGAAATATGCGGGAGAGTATGCAAGTTTATTTCTCATTAAAATGAATCAGTTCTGACTTGCTGAAGGCAAAATTTTATATAAAATTGTATAATTTTCTAACTTCCCTAGCACCTCATTTTCAAATAAATGTGAAACATTATCCATCGGTGCATATTTTCTTCTGACTAGATGTGCCACATGCTGTTATATAGGAAACACTGCTAGTAAGTCTCTCATCTTCTTTCCAAACACAGACAACTTCTTGCTCTATCACCCCATAGTCTTGTCTTACAAGAAGTGGCTCCTGTCCAGTGAAAATGATTTAGATGAAGAAAAAACAGAAGAAATTCCCATTTTTGCACCACTTTTTCCTTTTGAAACTGAGCTTTGGGGTCCAAAGGGCAGGGTTTCCACAGCAACTGTTTAGTCCAGGCTCCTTGTGATGATGGACAAATTAGCACAGGACAATTCAACAGCACGAGGTACTCCAGGAAGAAAGACTTTCAGAGGCTAACAAATCTTTAAAAGCAGCTCATCAGGCTACCTGCCCACAGGGAGCTCGAAAGCCAAGTTTTTACTCTGAAAGTGTTTCTGAAACTTTTTAATGACTCTTCTCCTCTGAGACTGCAATATATACAGAAAACTTTGCTTTCCCAAGAGAAGTTTTAAGTCTAAAAGGATGATGAATTTCAAATAATATAATTAATTCGTTTTCTGTGCAAACTTGGCTAAAATTTTTTAGGTAAAATTTATCTGTAAATAAGCTGTCTTATGATATCAGGAACATATGCACTCCGTTATTTTGTATTTACTTATTTTTAATGGATGACTCTGGTTTAAGTGTAAAATTAAGTTCACTATAATGTGTCTGTCTAATAAGTATGAAAGATTTCTTTACCAAACAGAATCTAAATACTTGACTTGAGTCCTACATGAGGGCCGGCAGACGTGAGCGAGCAGGTTGTTCACTGCACAAAGAGGCCTGGCTAGGCACAAGATCCGCTGGACACTCAAAATAAATTTGTTTGTGTGTAGGGAGGGGGTCTCAGATTCATGAGTCTGTTTTATTATCTATTTTCCCAGAAGGAGAACATTTTCTCATTTGTCTTACATTCCCTTATGTACTCTTTGTAGCCCTACTTGTGTGTATATAGGATCTTACACAATTTTATTTCTACATTTCTTTTCAACTTTTATTTTCAATTATTGCTAAATATACATTGTATTCTTGTTCTGGAATGAATTATTTTCTGTGGCCTAGATTGTCTTTCAACACTGTTATATTTGCAAATGTAATTTTTTCTTCCTCGAATGCCCCTCTGCCTGTTTCTTCTTTAGGTAAAATGAAATTGACTTTTTAAGGTCTAATATTGATTTCCACCATGTCTGTGTTCTCTCCAACTGCAAGTCTAGTTGTGTTTCATCCCATCTATAGTCTTCTGGAGTATACATATATACTCTGCACATAGTCTACATTCCAAGTGTATTTATGCCTTTTTCAAATTCTTAGTGAAATTATTCAAATAAGTACTTTATTCACTTTGGATATTTTAACACTTAGCATGATGGTATATAGTAAGTGGTTAAAAATATTTGGTGAGTATTTGAATGAGTAAACAAATGAATATGGGAAATTGATAGTATTGACTGTTATTTGTATAGAGTAGCAAAATCCGTAAGGATCATACTTTTTCATAAGGGGTGTTATAAGGGAAACCACCACAGTCTGGATTAGAGCTCAATGAAGACCTCACCCATCAAGAATATAGAATTCGGAGGCTAGCGATATATTAAAGGATAAATGGGAAATTGGATATATATGCTAATTTATTCTAAAAATTAATATAATCAGATATCATGACTTTACAATTGACTCTTGGTGAGAAATATCTGAGAAGAGGAATCACATAATAATGTACAGGAGCAGTTGAGAAATTATACACAGACAAAATTACTGTGAGAGAACATTGATTTTATTGTTTAAGTTAGCTTTAATGGAACGATGTGTAAGTAAAAGTGGAAATGGGTGATATTTTCCGATTTTTAAAATTTTATTTTAATGTAATTTAATTTAATTTTTCATTGAAGTAACATTGGTTTATAACATTATATAAATTTCAGGTGTACATCATTATATTTCGACTCTGTACAGACTACATTGTGTTCACCACCAAAAGTCTAGTTGCCATCCATCACCGTACACATGTGCCCTTTACCCCTTTTGCTTTCACCCCAAGCCCCTTCTCCTCTGGTACCACCAATGTGTTCTCCATATCTATGTATTTGCTTGTTTGTTAGTTTATTCTCCCCATATGAGTGAAATCATACAGTATTTGTCTTTCTCCATCTGACTTATTTCGCTTAGTATAACATCCTCAAGGTCCGTTCATGTTGTCCCACATGGCAAAGTTTCA